GGGGGGGGGGGAGCTCCTTCACGGCCATAGCTCCAGTCCACCCCATCTCAAGCTGACACTCGGCACCGGGCAGCATATTTTCAATGGCTGCTTGGCGCGAGAACCGACAGTGCTGAGCTAGGGGGAGGCTGAGAAGCCTCTCACCTAGAAGAGTGGAAGGCACGTGGTGACCCACTGAACATGGGGTCGCGACCCACTTTTGGGTCGCGACCCACCAGTTGAGAACCAAGGCTCTAAACTGAGGGATACATTAATGAATGGTAACCGCTGATTCTCAGCGGTTACCAGCCTTCTAGTGCAGCTGGTAACAGCGTACGTGACGAGTCATTTGGTCCCTTTGTGGCGGGACGTACAGTGTACGTCTCCCGTCACGAAGGGGTTAAAGCCGTCTGGTCGAGTCAAAAACCTCTTCAGCTCGGCAGATCAGTGGCGGCCACGGGGAGAGACTGCGGATCTCCTCACCAACATAAATCACTTCATCCATTACCCTCCAATGACAAATGTTGGTGCGTATATATGGGATACATAATGCTAATTCAGTGTAGCGTTGTCACCCTGTGTAACATGGTCCTGACATACGCGGAGAAGGAGGGCAACCAGCGCGGTCACTGCGGACATCCCTGCCAATCAGCAAAAGGACACTTATCCACCGGAGCCAGGATCCAAGATGGCGGCGCATTTTACTTTCCTGTATGTTCTGCTAATGTGAGTGAAGCATTCAAAGTCAATGGGAACTTGGAAGCTGCTGAAACTTTTTATTGGGAAAGTAGTGTGCATGATCCGGTCAGTGCATGGTCTGACCACACAAAGCTCAACTACTACCAAACTCTGGGCAGCAAGTGAAGCCGAACCGTGGACAGCTAAACTGCTACATGCGCCATGGCAAAAAAAGTCAGGGGCAACAGTTGGTTAGAGCTGCAACCACTAATCGATGTAGTCTATTAAAATCGACGATGGAAAAGGTTGTCAACGTTTTCCATCGTCGATTAGTTTACCCTGCTCGCGGCTCCACACACGACCTGAGCCGCACACCAGACGACGCGCCTCTTCTCCTCCCCGCTCTGAGCTCCCCGACGCGCCGCTGCCCGCCAACGATCGAGGGGGAACGGCACCTGACAGGCCCACGATCCCACATCTAAAAGTAAGAGTGCCTGCGACCCCCCCCCACCCCCCCCCACATGGCGATTGGGTTATTTTAATGTATTGCTGGGATAGTGGGAAATGTTTTACTCCTCTATACACGGTGCCATTCTGTATCGATTGTTGTAAAATTTTATACAACTTTCCATTTCACTATATTGCACAACACACTTTTTCCTTTTTACTTCCACCGCTCCAAGCTCGCTCCCGTGATGGACTACAATCTCAATACAAACTAGTAGTCCCGTCACTGGAGCCATTTAAAAAAAAAAAAAAAAAAATCAGATTAACCGATTAATCGAACTTAATAATCGGCTAACTAATCGATTTTGAAAATAAATAGTTAGCTGCAGCCCTCCAGTTGATGCCAAATTTCTGAAAATACTAGTAACCCCGAATGTCAGTGGTGAGCCGGGTCTTCTCACCCACCATCAGTACCTGACCTGACCAATGGGCACACATTTCTACAGACGCCCTCCAAAATCTTGTAGAAAGCCTTCCCAAGAGAGCGGAGGATGGTATGGCCATGTGGAAAGGGGATGCAACTCAGTATTAACAGCCAAGGGGTTGGCCAGCTCCATAGCCACAGGGGTGGCCAGCTCCCAATTCAAGGCCACAGGGATGGCCAGCTGCATATTCATGGCCACGGGGGGTGGCTAACTCCTTATTAAACAGCGATGGGGGAGGGGAGGGGTCTGTATTATTGGCCACTCCTTTGGGAGACCCTCTTTAAACAGCTTCCGTGTATTGTTCACATTATTTTAAAATAAGTCCCAAAAAACATTTTTTTTCTAAAGCATTATTAGAGGTCATGTGGCCAATCTCTCCTCAATATTCTGAATAATGAGGGCAGGGTGCGGAGCTTCGATAGGCCACCAATACCTCTAATGCCAGGATCTGTGGGGGTGGATGACAGTGATGTCAATCAGTTACTATGCCCCGCCCTTCACAGCCGGCTACAGGAGATCTGACTCCATATTTCCTTTATAGATTCGATGTTCCTCTATATCTGACACGTTTAGGGCGCCGCAGTCAAAGCTGCAGACCATCCTTCGTTTTTATACCCCGCTAACCTTCCTGCCGGGCAGGACGCGATGAGCAGCGGCCGATCAATCAACGGTGTCTGCGCGTCTCGGCGCTCGGGGAGCTGCGATAAAGAACTCACTTTTTTAACCAGTCGGCGATGTCCTTGGCAGTGGCTCCGTACTTCTCAAAGTTGAACATATATTTCCCTTTCCTGGAGGAAGACAAACACGTTTAATATTAGAAAATCATCTCTTTTCATCTTTTCAGCTCAAAGTAAATGGCGGTCCGGTATATAAAAAGGGGAACTCCGCCCAGATAGAAAAAAAGCCCCCAAATAATGCAGATCGGAGATCGTTATTAATTCATTATTTATTACTTGACCCTTTGAGGACTTTTAAACACAACAAATACAATATATTGCCAAAAGTATTTTGTCCTCCAAATCATTGGATTCGGGTGTTCCATGAAGTTTCTTTGCAAATAAATATTCCGCGCTAAGGAACCTGATATACACTGTATTGCCAAAAGTATTGGGCCCCTCCCCCTCCAAATCGTTGGCATCAGGGGTTCCAATCCCCTCCATGGCCCCCGGTATATAGGACGAGGCTCCTCGGCATGCAGACGCTTCTACAGACATTGGTGAGAGAACGGGCCGCTCTCAGGAGCTCAGTGACTACAAGCGCGGTGCCGTGATAGGTTGTCACCTGCGCAATAAGTCCGTCCGTGACATTTCCCGGCTACTAAATATTCCGCGGTCGCCTGTTACTGGGATTATAACAAAGTGGAAGCAACTGGGAACAACAGCAACTCAGCCAGGAAGTGGTCGGCCGCGTCACATGACAGAGCGGGGTCGGCGCATGCTGAAGCGCGCAGAAGTCGCCAGCTGTCTGCAGAGTCAATGGCTACAGACCTCCAAACTCCATGCGGCCTTCAGATTGGCGCAACAACAGTGCGTAGAGAGCTTCATGGAATGGGTTCCCATGGCCGAGCAGCTGCATCCAAGCCGCACATCACCAAGTGCAATGCAAAGCGTGGGATGCCGTGGTGTAAAGTCTGGCAATCCGATGGGCGTGCCTGGGTTTGGCGGTTGCCAGGAGAGCGGTACTTGCCTGACTGCATTGTGCAAAGTGTAAAGTTTGGGGGAGGGGGGATTATGGTGTGGTGTGGTTTCTCAGGGGTTGGGCTCCGCCCCTTAGTTCCACTGAAGGGAACTCTTAAGGCATCAGCACACCAGACATTTTGGACAATTTCATGCTCCCAACTTTGTGGGAGGAGTTTGGGGACGGCCCCTTCCTGTTCCAACATGACTGCGCACCAGTGCACAAAGCAAGGTCCATAAATACATGGATGGGGGAGTTTGGGGGGAGGAACGTGACTGGCCGCACAGAGTCCTGACCTCAACCCCATAGAACACCTTTGGGATGAATGAGAGCGGAGACAGCGAGCCCCTCCTCCAACATCAGTACCTGACCTCACAAATGGCCCAACATTCCCATAGACACACTCCTAAACCTTGTGGACGCCTTCCCAGAAGAGGCGGAGCTGTTATAGCGGCAAAGGGCGGAGCCAACCCAATACTGAACCCTACAGACTAAGACTGGGAGGCCATTAGAGGGCGGAGCCAACCCAATACTGAACCCTACTGGACTAAGACTGGGGGGCCGTTAAAGTTCATGTGCGTGTAAAGGCGTCCCAATACTTCTGGCAATATAGTGTTGATGTCTCTATAATCTTCAACAAAGTTTTAGGACGTTCCTCTCCCCACCCCCAGCCGCTATTACCCGCAATCAGCATCTGTCATAATAACAGCCGGGAATTCCTTTGCATCACACGGCGGGATCAGCGGTCCCATGTGAAATAACACTTGTACATTGTTGGCATCATGGAGTAAATACAATGTAACAATTTACTTGTAATGCATTTATCATTTCATTCATACAGAGATCGTTTTTTTTGGACACGACCTGTGGGGCTCATTCAGACAGGCGTGCACGCGCGTATAATAACCCGATCCCGGGGGGGGGTATAATCTAGGCTCAGAGGAAGTTGATTAAAATGAAGCTCCTATCAGATTGAGGTCATCAATAAATTGGGATCATCCTAAATACTCACTCGAAGTAGAGGATGGTGGGATAACCCTTCACACTGTACTCCTCTTTCAGCCGCTCAAACTCCGGAGGGTGAACATTCATCCCGGCCAGAACCTACAGGAGGAGAACCACAAACATTGGACTGACCCGTCACCCCCAAAACCAACGTGTCCACTCTGCTACAAAGTGTTAAATCTGACCTGCGTCCAGGAGACGGAAGGGGAGGACAGAGGTCAGATAGAAGACTGAAGGGAAGGACGGAGGTCAGATAGAAGACTGAAGGGAAGGACGGAGGTCAGATAGAAGACTGAAGGGGAGGACGGAGGTCAGATAGAAGACTGAAGGGAAGGACGGAGGTCAGATAGAAGACTGAAGGGAAGGACGGAGGTCAGATAGAAGACTGAAGGGGAGGACGGAGGTCAGATAGAAGACTGAAGGGGAGGACGGAGGTCAGATAGAAGACTGAAGGGGAGGACGGAGGTCAGATAGAAGACTGAAGGG